CAACTTGTTTTTCTGTGTAACTGTATTTAATTCTTCCAACAACCTTATAAGGTATGAATTCCATTATTATCACTGTTTACCTTTGGTGACAATATAAGGCTGAAAGAAATTTATTAACTTGCCCAAAGTTATGCCCACACACTCCCAGAAAGCAGGTGGCCCATCTGACCCCAAAACTGATTCTCCCAGGGTCCTGCTCCGCATCTCTTGGAAAAGTAATTTATTCTCTCTGAATCTGCTTCCTTATCCCAAAGAGGAAGAAATAAAGGGGGAAGACTCTAAGGTCCCTTTTGGATCTGTGGACTCCTAGTGGCATAAGTGCTTTATCCGGGGGTTGACACACTGTGATACATGGGCCAAATGCAGCCAGCTAATTGTTTTTATAAATAAAGTTTTATTGGAACACAGCCACACATATTCATTTATGTATTGTTGATATGTTTTTATAAATAAAGTTTTATTGGAACACAGCCACACATATTCATTTATGTGTTGTCGATAAGAGCAGAGTTGGGTAGTTGTAACAGAAACCATCTGGCACAGGAAGCATATAATATTTACTATTTTGCCCTTTATAGAAAAAGTTTGCTGACTCCTGGAATATACTAAGCTAAAGACTTTAATGATGATTAACTATAATGATGAATAGGAAAAAATCTGGAGAACCGAACAGCAACTATAAACCGTTGAGGGAGGTAAGATGATTTACACTGTTTACATTTTATACTTGGAGTTATTTAATTTACTTTATACTAAGTTATAACTTACACATGGCAACATGCACAAATCCCACACGTATACCCTGGTGATGGATCCACCATCCCAATCAAAATGTAGAACCTTTTCTAGCACCCCAGAAACCTCTAGCACCATGGATTTGTTTTCCCACTTTTAAACTTTATATAAATGGAATCACACAGTACATACTCTTTTCTGTCTGGTAAAAGTAGTTATTTATTTATTTAGAGAATTGGGTCTCACTGTGTCACTCAGGCTGAAGTGCAGTGACACAATCATAGTTCAATGGAACCTCAGACTCCTGGGCTCAAGCAACGCTCCTGAGTAGCCAGGACCGTAGGCACACACCACCATGCCTGGATAATATTTTTATTTTTTATTTTTGTAGAGACAGGGTCTGCCCAGGCTGATCTTGAACTTCTGGGCTCAAGCTATCCTCCCACCTCAGCCTCCCAAAGCACTGGGATGACAGGTGTGAGCCAACACATCTGGCAAGTATTTATTTTTAACAGTATTGTCCAGAGGCAATCACATGTTCATTTACTCAGCAAGTATTTTCTTGAGCATCTACCATACCTCCACACCTCTCCAGGCACTGAGGAGTAAGACATGAGAAGATGTTTGCCCCTCATGGGGTTTGCTCTCTGTGGTATATTTTTTTCATGGCTAGTAAAGTCTTCATGTCCACTACTACATAGAGGTCTGGCCTGAGCTCTTGGCCCATCTGCCCAAAGGCCTTTGAGTAGTCACCCTAATAATGTAAGACCTTTTAGGAATTTCAAATTATAAAAAAGTTGGAGAACTTGAACGGTCATCCAAACCAACTGGCCATTTTTCAAAGGTAGAATCAGAGACCCAGAGAAGGTGTTCACCAAAACATTAAGGGAGGTGAATCACCCAGAAAGGGGTATTGTAGCCAGAAGAACCACCTCAGGCTCTTTCCAGAGCCTGAAGTCTAGAATGTTCTCCAGGTTGCAACACCACTCTCTAACAAGAAGGCCCCTGACCTCCTGCAGACCAGGTTAGGGTGGTATTTATGTTTTTCTCTAGAGAAGATTTCATTTTGAGGCCTTGTAGATACTCTGTGAACCAATGAGAAAGCCTGGGAGAGTGGAGTGGCAGGGGGTGGAAATGACCACAATCTCTCTTCTGTAAACAAAGAAGTGCCACCGTCAAAAGTAGGGGAGAGACTGCATGCACAAATCAGAAAAGAAATATCTCTTGTGCTGCTAAGTTCCAGGGGAAATGAGTTCACAGGAGCCGCATTTGCCAATCTGTGGAGTGATGAGCACAGTGCTCAGAGAGTGATGAGTTCACTGGACTTCAACTTATTTTATACCAGGGATTGCACCTCCCATTAAAAAAACCCTTGGGATTTGAACGGCAAATTTATCTAGTTTGAGTAGATGAAACTAATATGGTCTCTTCAAATTCAGTAGCTCTTAAAAACATGCTGGGACTGTAAGAGCTTAAAGACATCAGTTGCCTTAGTTCTCAGCGTGTTTTCCAGATGTGCCTCTTCTTTCTAAACACATGAGAGCCCACCCTGTTCTAGGAACTTGTAGTTGCTAACTCGTGTAATCTTCACACAAGCACAGGAGAGTGTTATTATCATTTTACACAAGAGGAAACTAAGGATCAGAAAGATTATGTGACATGCCCAAAGTCGCATAGCAGGTAAATCAGATCTTGGGTTCAAGTTTAGCTCCGTTTGACTACTCCAAAGCCTGCCCTCTGCTCTCTGCTGGGTATCCTCCACCTCCTCCTCAAAGAATCTCCCCTTCAACTTCTCATCTCCCAAAGCAATGACAGCTGGAGACCTTCCTCTTTCATCCTAAAGCCCTGCTCAAAAGTTCTGAGCCCCAGTCTCCTCTATTAATTTGCTAAGGTGGCTACAAGCAGCCTGACACTCTCTTATAGATTATTTTTCCATCTTTAAAATGGAGTGACTATATCAGTCCATTACCACTTTATTCTATGTGAAGCATAAACAGTTGTTATTTCAGTCCTACTCCATCTTCTTCTATTTGGGGGAAGTTTAACTGAAGAGTTTTTTAAGATAGCTCACTTAGTATTTATGGCCTGCATTCTGAAAGTCTATCTGCTGTTCTACTTTATACATCTCTTTTTAAATTCCCATATGAAGGGATTGGTGAATCTGTTTGAAGATCTATAGTTCAGAACAATTACTTGATGAGCACTTACATTGCACCAAGTGGCATATTACAAGGTAGGTCTAGGAAGGAGGATTACAGGAAATTCCTGAATATAAATAGCCAGATTACCTGGAAAATGTACCTGGACACTCAAAGGAAGTTTGTCCTCTCCACTGAGTGAAATTTCCTGCACGTTCACATAGTTAGCTGGGGTTTGGGGAAGAATGGGTTTGCTGACACCTGAATTTTGAGAGAGACTGAGGCTTGGGAGTCAGATGGGGCACACAGCAGCTGGAACTGCCAATCAAAGTTTTGTTGTTACAACAGAAGTGATTGCAGTTTTTAAAGTGGGTTTTCCCAGCTTAACACAGTAACTGATCTTCATTACACTTGCTCTATCCTGAGAGCAAGTGAGAGACAGAAAAAGAGATTGTTCTCCAGAGACATTTACTCTGAACACTTCATTATCCTTCCTGAGGCAAGCTGGGTAGGCAGAGGATGTTCTTCCATTGGGCAGAATTATGAGGCAAAGATCTGTCACCTATCACAACAAACTAGAAGGAAAGAAGGTGAAATGAAAAGCCAACATTTTCATGAAGTTATGACTCCATCTGGGAGCCTAGGTAGTAATGGGTATCTGGAGGCTGAAGGGTGGAGGGGTTCCTGAATTGGGGGTTTGCTTGTCTCAGGGAAAGAGGGGCTGAGATCAGTATAAACCTTCCCCAGACTCCATGCACACAACCACCCCGCTTCTTCTGGCTCCCAAAACAAGTGGCCCAGGCACCTGTAGCAGAGCCTGTATTTAAGAGGCATCCTAGTTCCTTAACAGCCTGACTTGATAAATTACACCATCAGCCCCTGCACACCTAGGAGATTTGATCCTGTCCATAAGCCGATGAAAGCTGCTAGACTCTCCCTCCTCCTGCTGAAATTCCTCTTTATCCCTAATCTAACCTTACTTCCTCCTGGTTATCTTTCAAGGGTGGGAGAGGGAGGAAAATGTGCTTAGAAACTCCTTTGCAATGTTTCTGCTGATTCTGAAACCCTAGTCCCCCAATCCCTCCAACCCCAGCACTGTGTCTCCGATTCTGAAAACCCTAAGTTTCCAGAGAAACTCAATTTTATCACTGGAAACTGGCTTCGTATCGTCCCAGACCAGGAAGTGTTGAACCACGTTATTAGGCCAAGAGGTTGCACAAGTGGTTTCACTCAGTATACACAACCCCCCCCCCCCCCCAAAAAAAGGTATCAGTGGTATCTCCTTTTTGCAGATGAGGAAGCTGAGGCTCCCAGAGGGGAAGACTTATGCTCTGCCCCAGAAGCTTTAGGTCTGTGTGCGCTGGAAGCAAAGAAGCCCCTTCCCCTATTCTTCTATAGGTCCGGTCCTAGTCTGCAGGTTTGGGTGCGCCTCTTGCCGCCCTCCTCTCTTGCGGGTGCCCAGGAGGGAAGCAGGTGAAGCTCCAATAGAGCTGCAAGGCCTATGGCTTCCTTCCCGGCCCAGGCCAAACTGGAAAAAAACTTCTTTCCCTCAGCAGCTCTGTCGACACCTTCTCTACTAGGAGTGCGAGATTCCTGCCACTGCTGTAGTGACAGCGTCTGCAGAGCGTTCCCCAGCCCAGGGAGCCGCAGATGTTCAGGAACTGCAAATAAACCAGAAATGAGTGGGCCCGAGGGACACTCAGCTGCAAGTGTCCACCCAGCTGCAGGTCAAGCTTTGCTTTCACTGCCTCATCATTCTAGTGCCTCACCATCCTGCCTCACCATCCTCTCCCAAGGCGGAGGCGACTTGACATCCGGGTTTAAACCGGGGAGCGAGGCCCAGGCGTCCAGCTCCCCAGCTGTGTGGCCAGGCTGGGCCCCGGTGCAGCACGGCCGCTGGGGGAGACCCACTTTGGCTACTCTCTCTGCCCATCAATTAGTCGGGGTCTCCTTCCAAGGGTCCTACCGGCCTCCTTCACCCTCGCCTACGCTCTCTGGCGGGCAGTTCTGCAAACCCAAACCGCCAGACCAGGCCAGGGAGGGTCTGGGGCCTGCAGAGCCAGGAACTAAGGCGGAAATGAATGCAGTCCCTCCAGGGCGCGCTCACCCCGCCGAAGGCCACCTCACCTCCCCTCTGGCCTCGGCGCCCCTTCTCAAGTGGTCAGTTTCTCTTCCGCCCTGCGGGCTGTCCTGACCCACCATCTTCGTCGGCTGGGATGCATCCAGGGTCTCTACTCTTCTCTTTCTCCGCGTCTTCTTCCACGAGCACCCCAGCTTCCTCCGTCTCTCACCTGAACCCAGAAGCGTAGTGTCTTCACTCTGGACTAAAGCAGAACTGAGAACCGGTGGAAAAGCCCCGCGCCTAGGCTGCAAGGCACTGGCTTAACAAGTCCAAAGGTTAGCTGTAGTTTGGCTGATAAGCAGAACCAGTAAAAGAAGGTCTCCAGCCCCCCAGCGTGAGTACAATGGACCCTGGTAAAGCCCAGCTCCCGGCCCGGGTCTCTGGCTCTCCAAGTCTGCCCCTCCGGCTCTCCCTCTCTCCAGGTTTCCCCCTCCCCACCATCATTTGCATCCAGC